TGATTCAATGACTCACTCAAGATGTACTTGTTTCATTACTGGATGAATCAGTGCTTTTGAATGAATCTCTTGAATGAATGAATCAAAGACAAATCCATTTTTAACAGCCCCTTAAAAAAAGAAAAAAGATGCACACACAGGAATTGACAGGCAAATTGAATTTTTTATTTTACCGATTCCTGACCTTAAGTATCCGATTCTGGAATTTGAGTTGATTTTCAATTCCCAACCCTATTCCTGACCCTATCTCCTATAGGCTTGTGTTCATCTCCTGGGTCGAGTCGATTCTATTCAGCGTAACGGATCCTGTCTTGTATTTATGAATGTGTAAAGGGAAGGTTTTAGTAGCTCAAGCACTCCTTGAAGGTTGTTTCTTTAGAAACACGTCTGTCATGTGTTGATGCCCGTTCCATACTGCTGTTCAAATCAGAGAAAACAATGTTTTAGTGTTTAGATTTAGTCAATAAATGAGTGGATCTGTGGGCGGCGGGTGGGTTTGTGCAAGTTATTTAGCTTTAAACGGGGTCTCACAGTCAACCTGGAAATTTCTATATTAAAAAGTCTTTCTATAGTAAATTATTTGCTCTTTTAGGGGCCAAGCACTTGTTGTGTGTTAGTTTTTGTATTCTTCTGCCACTCCCGAGTCTATGGAAGCCTATAGAACCGTATGGTACAAAGTTGTGAAATTTGGCACACTGATAGAAGACAGTCTCAACATTAATCACACCAAATTTGGAATCTCTAACTCAAACTCTCTAGCGCCACCAACAGCTCAAAGTTGCAATGACATTTATGCTAATAATTTTTGAACTGCAAGCTCTAGAAGCAAAATTCTAATTTTCAGAAATGAAAGTTACTCTTAAAAATCAAAATTGCTTTTCAGAATTCCTCGGACATAAAATTCCTCTGATTCCTTGGCTCATGCCAATTTGATTGCGCACCATGACATAATTTCCTGTCATGAAAATCTACTTTTTGAATTCCTCCTCGGCCGTTGCTCCAATTTTCACTAAGTTTTAACCAGGTCATCTTCAGACCATGCCAACAAAAAGTTATGGAAATCCAGTTGATTAGACGAACTGTTCTTGAATAACACACAAACGAATTAAACGAAGAGCACGCCAAAATGAACATGAGGCTATATCTCCACAATGCTTTAGCGTGTTTAACCCAAACTTGGTGAGTGTTATAATAACCATGATCTGAGGTTACCTGGACAGTTTTGGCACAGTGTTTTAAAAATGGATATTTTTGATTATAACTTCTGAATTATTTGGCCAAAAATCACAAGACTTGTCATTTTACTTTCGTGACGATATACCAAGTTGAACGATACCCAATATTCCCATGTAAGCTATTTTGAATTTTATCGTAAAATGCTGTTTTTTTTTTTTACAAATGCATTGGTGTGTTATTACAAAACTCAAAACTCTGTATGTGTCATCGGCACCATGCCCTGAAGGTACTCAAAAAGCTTTGGGCAATTATAATGACATTAAAAAAATTATTAACTTTAGAATTTTTTTGCCTACTGGTCTCAATAGATTCCTTAGATTATGCTCAGAACGTCGATACCAATTATACCATAATTGGCCGAACTTCCCGTCCGCCGTTTTTAGTTCCTCTAAAAAAAATGTTTTCCGTACTCCTCCTAGACCATTGGTCCAATTTTCAACAAATTCTACTCGGATCGTCTTCAGGTTCATGCTCGGCTCCTTAATTGCTGCTTGCAGCTATATTTGTGATTCTAGCAATTCTTGAGGAATCGGAAACTAAAGCTGTGGCAACCCTGTTTAAAGTCAACATGAAACAAGCCATTTTACTTCTGTAATCTGATGAGTATTTGTTAAGAAAACTAGATTTTATCCATCATTTCATGATTGTGAAAGGGTTTCTTCTAAATTTTACGTCTTGGTGAATGATTACAAAAATGATGTTTCTTTATCATAATGTACACTGATGCATCATTTAAAGTAATTTTTGCATTCAAAGATGCTTGTAAAAAATACATACGGCCAAAATCTGAGACAAGCTGCCTTAACGGCATTAATAATGTACAGAGACACAAGCAGTCTGTGTTTCTACTGTGATTTTTACAGATCACAGTAAAAAGTTTCGTCTCGATACCAACTGCGTTCTGTCAAAAGAAATGTGAAGCACAAAGACGATGAAAAATCGATTGTATGTGTATATAAACGTATAATAGCTCTACAGGCCGGACTTTGAGAAACAAAGTGGTATCAAAGGATATCTTGTTTAAAAGCTTGTAATGCATTTGCAGATTTGATTTGACAGCTGTCATGTGACCACAATCCTCATCACGGAGAGCCGATTCGCAGACGCACACCGGAAACGTTTGGAAGCGTGAGTTCACATGAAACATGTCCGGCTCTACTGCGACAGATCTGTGAACCAAAATGCAATGTACAGTAGATTATTTTTAGGATTATTACTCCTGAAAAGTTTGTAAATATTCAATAAATGAATACATGTGAACATTCTTTGGCTTAAGTTTAAGGGTGAAGGTTATTAAAAGGTCTGATGTAATGTTACTGTATCTGTGGAGGGTTGAGATGTGATTATAATTTATGTAATTATTGTAACTTTGCATTTGAAGGATAACCATAAATTGTATCTGATGCTGGTATGACCTTCAGCACCAACAAACCATTCCATTACTTTTGCGTGTTAGATTGTTTCTTGTCTCTCATATGGCACACGGTTTATTAAACTATCCATATAAGAATCCTTATGAATATTTCAAGCTTTTATGGGGATCACATTTGATACTTTCAGTTTGAGTTTGCATTTTCATAAACGGATGACGTCGTCATTATACTATTTTCAGTATGATTATAAATTAATACTTTCATTCAAGGATGCATTAAGCAATTTAAAGTTATAATGTCCTAAAAGATTTCAACTAAATGGTGTTCTTTTGAACTTTCTGTTCACCTGTGAATCCTGAAAAATAAAATGCATCAGTTTCCACAAAAATATTGTGCAGCACGACTGTTTTCAACATTGATAATAATCAGAAATGTTTCTCAGCATATTATACTGATTTCTGAAGATCATGTGACACTGAAGACTGGAGGAATGATGCTGAAAATACAGCTGCACATCACAGAAATACATTACAGTTTAACAGATATTCACATAGAAAACAGCTGTTTTAAATCATATTTCACAATTTTTGTTACTGTACTTGAGATCAAATAAATGCAGCCTATTTTTTTTTATCTTACTGACCTCAAATTATATATATACACGTCTAATATTTTATTAAAAGTTCACAATTAATATCACCAGCAATTTATATAATTATAGTCTGGGGAAAAAAAGATATGTTGCTACAGTGCTAGAAACAATTACAGACACTGACTCTGAAGCACAAACTGATTGAAAATCATCCGAACACGAGCATCATGAATAACTCTGAGGTTGTGTTTTCAAACAAACAAACACAGAGCAGGTTCTGTGGCAGTAATTCCCGGGGGTCGGTGGGTCGGTACACATCTGATGTGATTCAAAAACATTCTCTATGAATTTTTATTAGGCTTTAGGTGCAAGAGATGATTTATGAGAGCTAATCATGAATATAAACCAACAGACGGCGAGAACGTCCATCAGAGACAACAGCGTCGCCAGAAACGGCCAGAAATGATTTTCATGGTCCATCCTCATCATCCTCCTCGCTGCAGTGTTCTTCATCACATGCTGGTGGGAAGCTTCTGCTTTCTGTTCTTGGCTGGAATCCCGGTCTGTTTGTATTCCTGCTTCTCTCTGAGATACTCCTGTTTGCACTCTTCGAAGAACGCAGGATCCTGATAACTGAGAGCCAAACGAACACAATCACACAGCAGCTAACAAAAACACCATTCCATCCAAGTTTATGATTTACATTTTTCAAAATGTTTGAGATTTATACATCCTCTGAATGCTGAATAAATAAGCTTTCCATTGATGTATGGTTTGTTAGGATAGAACAATATTTGAAAATCTGGAATCTGAGGGTGCAAAAAAATCTAAATATTGAGAAAATCATCTTTAAAGTTGTTCAAATGAAGTTCTTAGCAATGCATATTACTAATCAAACATTACGTTTTGATATATTTACGGTAGAAGATTTACTAAATATCTTCATGGAACATGATCTTTACTTAATATCCTAATGATTTTTGGCATAAAAGAGAAATGTATAATTGTGACTGTCTGTGAGTGTGTATATATGTGTGTGTGTGTGTGTGTGTGAGAGAGAGAGAGAGTGTGAGTGTGTGTGTATATATGTGTGTGTGTGTTTGTGTGTGTGTGAGTGTCTGTGTGTATATATGTGTGTGTGTGTGTGTGTGTGTGTGTGAGTGTGTATATATGTGTGTGTGTGTGTGTGAGTGAGTGAGTGTGTGTGCGCTTCTCGTCTGTCTGGGGTTGTCAGTATTCCCTGTGTGTCGCAGAGGAAAAGCAATAGGTGCAAATTAGAATGAGTGTTAAAAATGAGGAAGAGCTCCATGTTTATTTCAGTGAATCCGGAGACGGCGGGCTTTCTTTAAGATATAGCCTGTATATTCCTCTGAGAGATCGGCAACATAATCAGTTTTCAAATGAGCCTCTCGTTGTTTCTTAAGATGAGAAGCAGAGAGTTAGTGATGTGTGTGAATCCGTGCGTCCCCGAGGAGCACTAATGCATGCCTTGTTTATGTTACTGCACTCGCCATCTGTGCTGGTAAAAATAGTGCTTGCTCTCACTGGTGATCTGGTTTGAGTTCAAACTTATAGCCAGGTGAGTCAAATGATATATTTAACATATATAAAATAAACGATTATGTGTGTGTGTGTGTATATATATTTATTATTTTAGATGATATACTACTACTACCTAAAACGCTCATTTTATTTTGCATGTTTTCATATCCGTCAGTCAGGCTGTTGTGAGTGCACTCAGTAGGCAGCATGTTTTGTAGCTGTAGTGTGTTTGTGGGAGTTTCTGAGGTGTGTAATAAATCCAGAGGCTGTCGGTTTCAGCTGCTTCAACTGTTCCAGTGCAGTGCCTGGATGATGTGCAGAAGAGCAGTGTCCCTCGTCCCCCCAGCGCGCCTCCGCTGCCCTCGGTCCCAGACGGCCCCCAGGACCCCTGGCCCCTCCCACGTCCGGCCCCGCTGGGCAGCCCTGGCGTGCGGCTCAATCCCCCCCCGCGCATGAGCTCGCTGGACGACAGCTCCTGGTCCTTCCCCAGCCCTCCTCGACCCAGCGATGCTCTGTTCTGGGACCAAACCAAGCCCAAGAGCCCCGCCGGAGACTGGGGCCAACCGTACTGAATCCCGGCCCCGGCCCTCCACACCTTACCTGCCTTAACACACACATCCCTCTCTGGATGATCCCGGATGAGCAAATACCTCGAGCAGACTGGGATGGAGAAACCCTTGAGCGGACGCGTTCCTGACTAGGGTTGGGTATCGTTTGAATTTGATCAATTTCGATTCCGATTCTAACCGATTAAGCCAAACATTTAGATATCAAACATATTTGAGACCCTGGAGCACAAAACCAGTCATAAGGGTCAACTTTTTGAAATTGAGATGTATGCATCATCTGAACGCTGAATAAATAAGCTTTCCATTGATGTATGGTTTGTTAGGATAGCACAGTATTTGAAAATCTGGAATCTGAGGGTGCAAAAAAATCTAAATATTGAGAAAATCATCTTTAAAGTTGTCCAAATGAAGTTCTAAGCAATGCATATTACTAATAAAAAATTAAGTTTTAATATATTTACGGTAGGAAATTTACAAAATATCTTCGTGGAGATCTTTACTTAATATCCTAATGATTTTTTAGCAATAATTTTGACCCATACAATGTATTGTTGGCTACAAATATACCTGTGCTACTTATGACTGTTTTTATGCTCCAGGGTCTCTTTTTGGAAAACATTTAATTGCAGCTGAATACTGTGAACAAAAATCAGCAGGCTACATAAAAACTGGACTCGATTAAGAGATGTTTGTGTGCAAAATAGAGCTGCACGATTCTGGATAAATTGAGACTTTTAAATGGAGGTTGTAGTTCTCTCACAATTCTGAAAAAAAAACTTTAGACAATTAAACAAAATCTAATGGAATCTATGAATGGAATGATTCAATGACTCACTCAAGATGTACTTGTTTCATTACTGGATGAATCAGTGCTTTTGAATGAATCTCTTGAATGAATGAATCAAAGACAAATCCATTTTTAACAGCCCCTTAAAAAAAGAAAAAAGATGCACACACAGGAATTGACAGGCAAATTGAATTTTTTATTTTACCGATTCCTGACCTTAAGTATCCGATTCTGGAATTTGAGTTGATTTTCAATTCCCAACCCTATTCCTGACCCTATCTCCTATAGGCTTGTGTTCATCTCCTGGGTCGAGTCGATTCTATTCAGCGTAACGGATCCTGTCTTGTATTTATGAATGTGTAAAGGGAAGGTTTTAGTAGCTCAAGCACTCCTTGAAGGTTGTTTCTTTAGAAACACGTCTGTCATGTGTTGATGCCCGTTCCATACTGCTGTTCAAATCAGAGAAAACAATGTTTTAGTGTTTAGATTTAGTCAATAAATGAGTGGATCTGTGGGCGGCGGGTGGGTTTGTGCAAGTTATTTAGCTTTAAACGGGGTCTCACAGTCAACCTGGAAATTTCTATATTAAAAAGTATTTCTATAGTAAATTATTTGCTCTTTTAGGGGCCAAGCACTTGTTGTGTGTTAGTTTTTGTATTCTTCTGCCACTCCCGAGTCTATGGAAGCCTATAGAACCGTATGGTACAAAGTTGTGAAATTTGGCACACTGATAGAAGACAGTCTCAACATTAATCACACCAAATTTGGAATCTCTAACTCAAACTCTCTAGCGCCACCAACAGCTCAAAGTTGCAATGACATTTATGCTAATAATTTTTGAACTGCAAGCTCTAGAAGCAAAATTCTAATTTTCAGAAATGAAAGTTACTCTTAAAAATCAAAATTGCTTTTCAGAATTCCTCGGACATAAAATTCCTCTGATTCCTTGGCTCATGCCAATTTGATTGCGCACCATGACATAATTTCCTGTCATGAAAATCTACTTTTTGAATTCCTCCTCGGCCGTTGCTCCAATTTTCACTAAGTTTTAACCAGGTCATCTTCAGACCATGCCAACAAAAAGTTATGGAAATCCAGTTGATTAGACGAACTGTTCTTGAATAACACACAAACGAATTAAACGAAGGTTTAGATTTAGTCAATAAATGAGTGGATCTGTGGGCGGCGGGTGGGTTTGTGCAAGTTATTTAGCTTTAAACGGGGTCTCACAGTCAACCTGGAAATTTCTATATTAAAAAGTCTTTCTATAGTAAATTATTTGCTCTTTTAGGGGCCAAGCACTTGTTGTGTGTTAGTTTTTGTATTCTTCTGCCACTCCCGAGTCTATGGAAGCCCATAGAACCGTATGGTACAAAGTTGTGAAATTTGGCACACTGATAGAAGACAGTCTCAACATTAATCACACCAAATTTGGAGTCTCTAACTCAAACTCTCTAGCGCCACCAACAGCTCAAAGTTGCAATGACATTTATGCTAATAATTTTTGAACTGCAAGCTCTAGAAGCAAAATTCTAATTTTCAGAAATGAAAGTTACTCTTAAAAATCAAAATTGCTTTTCAGAATTCCTCGGACATAAAATTCCTCTGATTCCTTGGCTCATGCCAATTTGATTGCGCACCATGACATAATTTCCTGTCATGAAAATCTACTTTTTGAATTCCTCCTCGGCCGTTGCTCCAATTTTCACTAAGTTTTAACCAGGTCATCTTCAGACCATGCCAACAAAAAGTTATGGAAATCCAGTTGATTAGACGAACTGTTCTTGAATAACACACAAACGAATTAAACGAAGAGCACGCCAAAATGAACATGAGGCTATATCTCCACAATGCTTTAGCGTGTTTAACCCAAACTTGGTGAGTGTTATAATAACCATGATCTGAGGTTACCTGGACAGTTTTGGCACAGTGTTTTAAAAATGGATATTTTTGATTATAACTTCTGAATTATTTGGCCAAAAATCACAAGACTTGTCATTTTACTTTCGTGACGATATACCAAGTTGAACGATACCCAATATTCCCATGTAAGCTATTTTGAATTTTATCGTAAAATGCTGTTTTTTTTTTTTACAAATGCATTGGTGTGTTATTACAAAACTCAAAACTCTGTATGTGTCATCGGCACCATGCCCTGAAGGTACTCAAAAAGCTTTGGGCAATTATAATGACATTAAAAAAATTATTAACTTTAGAATTTTTTTGCCTACTGGTCTCAATAGATTCCTTAGATTATGCTCAGAACGTCGATACCAATTATACCATAATTGGCCGAACTTCCCGTCCGCCGTTTTTAGTTCCTCTAAAAAAAATGTTTTCCGTACTCCTCCTAGACCATTGGTCCAATTTTCAACAAATTCTACTCGGATCGTCTTCAGGTTCATGCTCGGCTCCTTAATTGCTGCTTGCAGCTATATTTGTGATTCTAGCAATTCTTGAGGAATCGGAAACTAAAGCTGTGGCAACCCTGTTTAAAGTCAACATGAAACAAGCCATTTTACTTCTGTAATCTGATGAGTATTTGTTAAGAAAACTAGATTTTATCCATCATTTCATGATTGTGAAAGGGTTTCTTCTAAATTTTACGTCTTGGTGAATGATTACAAAAATGATGTTTCTTTATCATAATGTACACTGATGCATCATTTAAAGTAATTTTTGCATTCAAAGGGGGTTTTTTTTACAAATGCATTGGTGTGTTATTACAAAACTCAAAACTCTGTATGTGTCATCGGCACCATGCCCTGAAGGTACTCAAAAAGCTTTGGGCAATTATAATGACATTAAAAAAATTAAATTTTTTTGCCTACTGGTCTCAATAGATTCCTTAGATTATGCTCAGAACGTCGATACCAATTATACCATAATTGGCCGAACTTCCCGTCCGCCGTTTTTAGTTCCTCTAAAAAAAATGTTTTCCGTACTCCTAGACCATTGGTCCAATTTTCAACAAATTCTACTCGGATCGTCTTCAGGTTCATGCTCGGCTCCTTAATTGCTGCTTGCAGCTATATTTGTGATTCTAGCAATTCTTGAGGAATCGGAAACTAAAGCTGTGGCAACCCTGTTTAAAGTCAACATGAAACAAGCCATTTTACTTCTGTAATCTGATGAGTATTTGTTAAGAAAACTAGATTTTATCCATCATTTCATGATTGTGAAAGGGTTTCTTCTAAATTTTACGTCTTGGTGAATGATTACAAAAATGATGTTTCTTTATCATAATGTACACTGATGCATCATTTAAAGTAATTTTTGCATTCAAAGATGCTTGTAAAAAATACATACGGCCAAAATCTGAGACAAGCTGCCTTAACGGCATTAATAATGTACAGAGACACAAGCAGTCTGTGTTTCTACTGTGATTTTTACAGATCACAGTAAAAAGTTTCGTCTCGATACCAACTGCGTTCTGTCAAAAGAAATGTGAAGCACAAAGACGATGAAAAATCGATTGTATGTGTATATAAACGTATAATAGCTCTACAGGCCGGACTTTGAGAAACAAAGTGGTATCAAAGGATATCTTGTTTAAAAGCTTGTAATGCATTTGCAGATTTGATTTGACAGCTGTCATGTGACCACAATCCTCATCACGGAGAGCCGATTCGCAGACGCACACCGGAAACGTTTGGAAGCGTGAGTTCACATGAAACATGTCCGGCTCTACTGCGACAGATCTGTGAACCAAAATGCAATGTACAGTAGATTATTTTTAGGATTATTACTCCTGAAAAGTTTGTAAATATTCAATAAATGAATTCATGTGAACATTTTTTGGCTTAAGTTTAAGGGTGAAGGTTATTAAAAGGTCTGATGTAATGTTACTGTATCTGTGGAGGGTTGAGATGTGATTATAATTTATGTAATTATTGTAACT